AAGATATAGGTAAAAGTTTTAATCCGTAATCGTGTATCGCTCGTGTTCGTTTCAAATTAAAAAATGACACGTATCCACTTGCATTTTTTGCGATGCGACATCGACGCGACCGCGACGTGGTCGTAAATATATCAGCTTTTATCCCTAGATCGCAGAGAAAATAATACACTGACATTTTCCAAAATACAAATGTTATTTCTTTGATATTTTCTTTCCTCTAAGGAAATATTTTCGCCAAATTCGTCGCGAATAAAGAATCTCTTGATTCAGAAGTAGACTTGCGATATGAAGGAACAGACGAGGGTGCCCTTATCTCTCTCTGAACAGGCATCCTTTCATTCTGCCAGCTCGATATCGTTTTTGGCCAATGTTCCGTTCGGGAAACGCGCAACGACGTCATTCACCGAGTGAGTTTGCTACGTTGGCTTTGTAACGCGACTCTAATTCGCGGCGGTAACGACCTCGCTGCTGCGCTTGTAACCGGAGTCGGAAATTATACCGACGTTTAGTTTTGCGCCTTAATGAGTGGCGCGCTCTTCGAAGAGATGGTCGTCGGACGATGTACTTCGTGGACCTAAGTATCTAACATAAATGGTAATGTAAATTGACTCGAGTAGTACATTAAGTTAGAAGATTCCGCTCTCTTTCGTATTTATATTCATTCGACGACGCGTTTATTATTATATCTGATTTACAACCTAAGATGCGAACATTCTCAAGGAAATATACTTGTTAATCTTTATTCGATTTGCGTATCTTTGTTCTTATAAATATGAAAAAAAGACCATTTGACCATTTATTCTCTCCTTTAATTTTTATTAAAGTTATCGTAGAAAATGTATATTTTTCATCTGTCAAAGCGTTCATAAAATAATCACTAAAACATGTCTTTTCCTTGATTTGAAAAGAAAATATTTGTACAAAAATCTAGTTTTTTATTTAAGTTTTATGTAATTGTTTGCATTCTATGAAGTTTGATATGATGTTGATCATATTTTTCTGACTGTCTTGTTTATTCGAATGGAAACACGATCACATACGAACAATTCGTATGAAATATATAAAGATAGTGACGAAGTAACAATCAGAAATGAAACAATAACATTTACCCCGTTGACGTAATATGAGAAAAAGTGCCGCTCATTTTTAATTAAAGCCGGCTGCACGTACACGGAGCTGCGGACGTCCCGGAAAAGCGAAACGAGAGGAAAAACGAGCACGTCCGACCGAGCGCAAGCATATAGAGAGTCTCGTTTGCCGGTCACGAACGGCATTCTCATGTCGGATGCTATTATAGTAAAGAATAAAAGTGGATGGAAATACCAAGAAACGACGATAGGCACGCGTTGCATGCACTCCGAACCTCCGGTATTGCGCAGAGCGCCATGTTCACTTCCTTCGAGGCTTTCCATCGACGATTGAAAATGTATCGAAGAATACGATGCTCTACAGTACAAGTACAGCTGGATAGCGATCTTGAATTATTACAATGCCTCGAAATCACGTTCGTACATAAATCAGCCGGATCCTTCGCGCAGAAAACCCGAGAAAAGCCCCGCGCACCAGTTTAACTCTTTTTATTACAAGCCGTGATGATGGTTTTTATCATATATACGAAAAGTAATTTTTTATATGTTTCTTCATTGCCAATTTATGGTATTATATTTTGTACAAATATGTTATGTAGTGCTCTCATATAACAAGCCGTTGTATGTTCCTATTCTCCGTCCGTTGTTGTGAAAATGTTGGATGACCTAGATGCGTCGATATCTGCCGGTCACCGATTTTATCTTCCGGTTGTAGCATTGGATACCTATTGCTTTTTGAGATATATCGTATACTTCGGAAACACTCGCGATGATACTTTTCGTTGAAAAGGTCGAATTATAATGGTCGCGATTGATGTTGAAACCGCGCGTTAATTCAGTGCTTGTAAAGTAAGGAAGGATTAACGGATGTGAGCGCATGTACGCGCGAGAACATAATGTAAAGTACGAAGCCGAGCGTATATAGATACATCGCGTCCGCTTGGAAAACCTCGATACCGACATTATGTGGCGTACCTTGCGTTCAACTTGATAAATGAAGGCGGATCGGTGAGTGTCGTCACGCGACCTACTACCACTCCCATGGACTTTTTTCCTGTCAGTAGTTTGGTAACTGACTGATTTTTCCGACCAGGAGGAAGAATGGAGAGGTAACCGTTCGTGGACGGGAGATGGGAAGCAATGGAGAAAGGGTCCACTAAACGTCCACCTCCAGCCGCCAGCCCCGGAGGGCCGAGGGTCGCTATCTTTTTTGTCCGGGAAATAAGGGTCTAGAGACAGGGACTTGATTATCTGGTTGACGACGACAGCGACGTCGACAAGAGGCGTTCTTACGCGTGGTCGAGCTATTGTATTACTGATCGTTGAAAACTTTTTTAATCACGTTCTTCCGTTGTGGATACTAGGGATTGCTCGTCTTTCGTACTCGCGCGCACGCACACGCGCTTTCAGCCCAAGGCGTTTACCCGCACTTTTTTCATTCATTATTCATATTTTCCCGCTACCATTTACTCCCGTTCGCGTTCGCGACAGCTCCAAGTTTTATTAATAGTTACGAACCCGACGTCGTCGACGGTAGCGAAACGCGGTCATACTGAATTATGCGGTGTGCCGAACAAGAAGTCGTTTACGAGTTCCTAAATGTATTTTAAATCGGTCACCGACTATAATAGCTATTTGCGCGCATCCCGATTGGTAGTTGTCAATAAATGAGAGATACCTAAATGTCTTCTCATTTCCGTCCGTTTGAAAAGATGGAGAGAATCAAAGAATTATATTAAATTTTGCGAGATTGCTTTTTAAGGTTAACAAGGTAAACGAACGATGCATTTCTGTGACACGAATACGAAAATAATTTGTGTAGATTTTTGCAAGATTTTTTTTGGAATTCTTTAATAATTTTAATTTCTAATATATATGCCTAAATGGAAAATGCGAATTTTATAATTTTATCTCAGCATTTCTCAATACGATTTAAGAGTGGAAGCATGAAAGAAAATAATGAACAATGAATCCTTTCGTAACGACTTTGTTTCGACGAGAAGTAGACAAAGTACCTGCAATGTAAGAAACAAATGGGACAGCAATAGCGCGAGCAAGAATTATGAGTTACGCTGAGAGCGTCGCAGAAATTCGATATTATACTCGAAGCTCCCCGTACCACTCGTAAAGACAAATAGAGAGTTGTTGAAAAAAGAAAATTGCGAGAACTAATTGAATTGAACGTATCTCGTATCTTTCGCGTACACTTGATCGATTAGGACGATGCGTTCTCGTTGCTACTCTCATCGCGTACACCATTCTTGCGCTCACGTGCACGCTATATATACGGGTTGCACGCATGACCGACTTTTTTTCATTATCTTCTGTCTTCTACGGGAAATGCTCTCCCGAGAAGTAGCAAAATAAATTTACCTGATATCTCGCGATTTGTTTTTTTCTTTTCCTTTGTCAACACGGATGGGTTTGTATTTGTAGGATTGCGTAAACACAATGCAAACACATACATATGAAGAAAGATTCTGCATATTTGAATTAATTAAGAGGATTTCATTTTAATGCCGTACTGTAAAATATTTTCATCTGACGTTTTGTGCATGCTATTTTATTTCTATTAATTCTGGCAGAAAGAAGTGCGCTTACGAAATTTAATTTGTTTTATATGATCGCTAGTCGAAATCTCGAAACCTTGCATACTAAAGGTACCCCGCGCTGTGGATAGTTCTATTAATATTAATACATCTTGAAAAAAATCCTTTTGTGCATTTTTATCACATAAATATGTTTTGCTTTGTAATATAAAAGATTCTGTTCTTCCTCGAAATTTTGAAACGCATCAAATAACGCGATTGAATTTAATACAAATATCATTATACACGATGAATCTCGCTTTGTCTCTGCACCTTTTGAGGTAACTGTCGGAACAGAAGAGTAATTACTGCTGAATCTCATAACGCGCAATTTCTATTTCGCGTAAGCTAATTGCGCCGCTTTAGACTTAACGACGTTCTTTGATTGTCAAGTAGCGGGATAGTGTTTAGTCGAGACAAATCCAAGAAATAGATAATCTGAAAATCGCTACCTGTCGTCGATCGATAGTCGCGTGTTGTACAAGTCCTATCGCTCACTAATTGAATTTTAAAATGCCATGCGGTGAAAGAAAAACAGTAAGAAAAGAGCCACGAGACGCGCGATCCGATTACGCGGTAATCGCCTCCGCAATACCTTCCGGCGTAGAAATTCGAGATTTCGCCGTTCGCTCTTTAGTGGCCGGAAATGCGGCGTCAATATTGGAACACGAGACTGACTATGGAGGATCTCGACAAAAGATTCCTTGTGCATGCCGCCAAGGAAGAATCGGTGTATCACGGTATATACAGAGGTACACACTGGTCGTAGTAACCGATGGTCACACAGGCGCGAATTTCGAAGCGTATATACTTGGTCAAAGCCGCTGTTGCATGGCAACAATTCGCGTTCTCTCCGATTTTCTCGTCCTCGATGCACTCGCCACGCGCCGCTAGTCTTGTCAGCTGAGAAAGTCCATGAGTCGGCAGACGTTTCGAGTTTATTCGAAACGATTATTTCGAATAAAGAGGAGAGAAAAACAAGCAACACGTATCCAGTATTCTCTTCTCCATATTCTCAATCGCTTTTTGCCTGAACACGTGTTATACATTTTACCCTTCGTTATTTGCGGTGTGTACAAGATGTCTCGGAAGATTCACGTTTTTCTCAAACTAAAAGTATTTGCAGTCGTACTGAAAAGGGAGTCGATTGTGTTTCGAAGAATCTTTAAGTTGTGAACAATTCGGAGTTCGATGTTCGAAATACAAAGCGAAAGTTACGTCCCAATGCTTTCGAGAACTTGAAGAGAATTTTAAATTAAGGATTATTAGAGGATTATTAGAATGTTTAAACGAATTCGATGTGGAAACGCGTGATTTCGGCGACATCTTGAATAATAATTTCAATTGCACTTTATTCAGTTTTATTCATGAATGTATAGAATTATGTTTTAGTCAACGAATAATGATATACTTATCCATGTTTTCGGTCAAATTTATGATTTTATTTATGAATAAGCAACCTATTGTTATAATAAAACCGATTATTCATCGACGGTTATTATATATAGGAATTTCATGATTTCTCTTACATGTATTATTGTATATTCGCAATTCCGAATCGCGCGCGGTCTCATTGTTAAAAGCATCATCCTGTAGTCGTCGCGCTGCCCTCAGCCCTTCCGGACACGTCGTCGTCGCTCGGTTGCATCGACAAACGGCGCGTCGTTGCGAAAGAGTTCATCGTTCCGGTGCACAGTCAAAAGCGTCTCTGTCGGATGCACATCGTCGCACGTATCTCGCTGTGGCTTCCATGACACCTGGGCAATGTTCGCACAACTCGTGACGGAAATACCTCTCTCCCTCTCCCTTTCTCTTTCTCTCTTTCATACATTCTCATTCACTCGTTCTTTCGTTCGCTCTCTTTTTCTTCGCTTTCTGGAAAGTGCCTTCTGATTTCTCCCTTCGAAAATGCGCGATGGAATGGAGCAATTAGTAAAGTAGCAGACACAGGCAGAGCAGAAGGGAGTACAGCCTCGGTTGTTTGGCCTGACCGCCGTGCTGCATTGCCGCGGGATACTCTCCTGAAACAGAGGGCAACACTTAAATTTTCTGAAGACCCGCGGCACTTGGTATTCTCGTCCGCCGTTTTCTATTCTTCTTCTCTCCTTTTCTTTTGCATTATCTTTTTTGTTGCCCAGCCGAAATGCAATTTAGCTAATTATTTCTCGTAATTTCTCGCGGTTTCTCCTTGGTAAAATGCGTTCTTTCATTCCAAAGAGAGAATTTGCCAATCCTAGATGAGTCACGTGACTATAAAAACAATCTTAGAGAGATATCGAATTAATATTTTATATAAATATAATACATGTACGATAAACTATATACAAAAAATAGTCATCACGTAAAATAGCTTACGTTAATAATGAATTAACGATAATTACAGTATTCACGTTAAAAATTAAAAATTTGCAACATTGTACAACAATTGCCACAAGATGTTAACGAAAAATCATACAAATTAGTCAAATAAAAGAAACAGAAATGAAATATTTCTTAATAAATCTGTAGCACTTCATTCGCGATAAAATTTACGTAAGATTTCTCAGAAGTTTATGCTTCCAATATTATCCGATGTTCTGTTTTCAATGTACACGATCGTTGTTAATCACGAGCTGACAAGAAGCTGGTGCATCGTCTTCGTATCATCGATTACTCACCGTTGAGTACGTGTACGGTGATCGATTTCGGTTGAGCATTACTGGGGTTACAAGTGTACCGTCCCGAGTCCGACGGCTTCGCTTCTTGTACCAAGAGGAAACTCGTCGTGCTGTCACCCTTCTCCGTGACCACGGAGACGCCGCCTCTGCTCGAGTCGTAGCTGATTATCTGGAACAGAGATCGGGTGATCGTTCTTAGACAAGGTGGCGTCTCTCCGAGTGGATGAGAATTAAGTTGCGGTGAGGATGGAAGCGAATGAGAAACCGGCTAGCCAATGTCTGATACAATTTTTATTAGGCAGCTCCGATGAATACTGGCTATGAAGACGACAAGCTCGTAGAAGGACTCCCTTTCGGTTCGCGAAGAGCACGGACGAGGTTAGAAAAAATATCGTTAAAAAAAGTATCCCTCTTTCAATGAAAATTCTTAACGTGTATAAGATTCAAAGAGATTCGAAAGAGATTGTAAAGTATCCCCACGACGTTTAGTGATATAAAAGAGGTTTGCCCCGACGTTCGGTGCAAATTACCTCGCTGGCGACTTATGCCCCGAGAACTTATTTCCCAAGATAAATATTATTCCAGGATAATTTTCGGTGATGGATCTCAGTTTCTTGTGTTTCTCAACTTTTTATAATTTTTAATTATTCAATAATCCTCGAATTATTGGTAGATGTCAATTTTCTTAAAATATAAGTACGTATTTTAATCTTTTTAATGTAATGTCTAGGAAATATTGAAGAAAATAAAACAATTATTTCTGTAATTGCAAAAGTAAAACCTGACACATTTTTTATTATGAAAAATAAACTTACGTTTTGTTGTTTAACAAAAGATTAATGTTTCTCGCATGCAAAGAATACTTAGAATGTTAGAATAATCAAAACATTTCACGAATGTTATTTAAACCTGCACATTTACGCTGGAAAATTGGCTGCAACGTCCAAATGCTAGTAGTGCACTCGTCTCAAGACCCCGACGAACGCGCGTCGTGTTTATCCTATGTCTGTTCCACTTGACAACGCTCGTGAGTGTCGCTTTAACACGGGGTTGGTAGAATCCAACATTAGGTATACGCGAATGAAAGGAATAAAAAGCAGAAAACGTAGCGAGAGCTAAAAAGGATTTTTAAATAAATAATCCGCAGTTGGAACCTTACGACAGTGTACCTTCGTCTGAGAGGTACGTAAGCCTTCTTAAGGGATTGAGAATTGTAGAACATCCTTGACAACATGTTGGATATTTGCTTCTTGGCTATATTTCGGTGTTAAAAAATTCGGACGTCATGTCCTCTCAGAATTATCTTGGTAAAAAGAAATGTTAAATAAAAAAATCAATAATCACATTAATTTAATTCCTCTTGCACTCTGTACTTTCATACAAATCGTTTTTTAATATTTAAAATTGAAAATTTTGCTAAAATACGATATCTTTTTTATAATTCAATAAACAAAAGAATCTAAAATTGTTATATTGTTAGATAAAGGAGAATAATGGTAAACCAATCCTTTGAATAAAAAATAACATTTTGTTATTTTAACTTCCATGTATAACAAAATATAATTAACCCATTTCTGTGGTTAGTTTTAAAGTAAACAATGTTCATATTAATGTATGCACTTAAATAATAAATTTAAATTTGAGTATTTAATAAATTTTTTTAGCTAAATTATTAATTCTATTATTTTAGTTAAATTAACGACATATTGAATAATGGCAGTGACAACTTATAGGATAACTCCAGCAAATACGCCGCGCTGGGATTTACGCCGCAGAAGTCAGAAAAAATAGGAGTGGGGATAATTTTCCCGCAACTATTCTGTTACATGTCTTTATGTTAATATTGTGTTATGATTTCAGTTTCTTATTGTTAATATTAATGAAATTATTGTGAGTTGAATTGATTTGTCACTGTAATAAGTAACGCCATCATAAATTAAAGTCTACATAAAATGATTACTGTAGAGCGTGTAAAAAACTTAATGGTTATTTCGTGATACATACGTGTAGTGGAATAATAAAGCATGTTGTACAGCAAAATACAAGTGCTTTCGTATTCTTTGTTTAGTTTATTGTCTTGTATATATCCCACTTGTTTGAGATATGCGGCATTTTTAGCGAGCGGGATTTATGCCTAAAGCATACAAATTGAATTCAGTACACTAAATGCAATAAATGCATTATATGAAATATGTACCTCATGTCATAACACTTGTAATATATGTAGGAAGATTGTAATTATTATTGTATTTATGATTTCATATACATATTTACCATTCCTATTCCTTAATAAAAATTTATAAACATATTTTATAAGTTATTATGTCATTTTACGTCTTATTTATATACATTATTTATAAATTTTTTACGAGCCGTACATACATATGAGTAGCCATATATCCCACCCCTATGGGATATACGGCAAAAATGCAAGGGTTTCAAAAAGTTTATTTTTTAATATGTGAAAAATAAATATTTCGGATTTCTAATATTTTTTTTATAGTAGTAGACAGTACAAAGTTTTTACTGATATAATTCGTTTACTTTAAACATAGTAAATAATACTTAATAAATTAAATTTTTGATAGGTGCGGCATATATATGCGGCATATATATGCGAAGTTATCCTATAATAGGAATTATTAAAAATAACTCAAATTGGGTATCACAATTTAATATTATGAATTTAATACAGTATGTCATGAATAATAGAATTAAAATAAATAGGTTAGTTAATATGCCAGTACATGCATTAATTAATGTAGTACAAAAGAGTTCTATTAAAGAGTCTCGTTGCTTTACCATTATTTACTTCTCGATGCACAAGTTCTGATATTATATTGAATGCTCGGATTTCTTTCATTCACAAAGAGCAAATCTAAATGATTGCATACAAAGCGTAATTGTTTCATTCTGAGAAGAAGAAAATGCTTTTTTGAAGTTTCTTTCATTAAGTGTGCAAATATAAGCTGTAGGTACTCGAGAAAATTTAATCTTTCCGGATTGCTGCATTTCCTGCGCGGTATCAAATCCCGAGGATAAGAATATATATCGGTCGCCAGGCTGTTTATCCCCATCGTTCCATAGTCTCAAAGCACGCGATTAATCGGACGAAAGTTAGCGGCCGCGCGCCGCCCGCCGCGCGAGTTTGATAAGCACCGCGCTGCACTGCTTCCTTCCGTTCCGTTATCTAAACCGCGCGTTGCGGTCTAACGCAGAATAATATGCGAAACTTTCGTTGGAAAGTCCATAGTTAATCCGGCCGTATACATATATACGAGGCGCAATAATGCCGGCGTACTTAGACACATGCATTCATGACATGCTCTTCTGCCGCTTACGCTTCTGAGAGCTGAACTTTCCTTATCCTATATGAAACGGGGAGCTCGACGTTGGGTTTTTATAATCCGTCGGTAACTCGTAAATTAATGTTTCGAAGGGCGTTCGTCTCTTCAGCTGCTTGTGCTCCTCTATACATAAGCACAAAATTAAACAACACCGACAAAGTTGTATCTCTCAAAGTTACGTAATACAAACGTAAACTTGCGTTTCAGGAATTCATTAAACTTTTATGATTCATCCGTAGGAAGTTTGTGCGTTTTTTGTAACAACATAGTTTACGCGAACGATAAACCAAGTATGATCGCTCTTAAATATTTTGCGATATATGAATATATATGTATTGAATGTTTAATGTGCCTGCGTTGCCGTTTTCTATGTTACTCACGTTCGCGATATGCGCGAATTATTATTGTAAACGACGTTCTTGTAATTACTCGGGCGAACGATGTGTTTCGAATTGAATTGATTTTTATTTAATTCTACTCGATCATCAGAATGGATAAATAATATCCAATTTTCAGTTCATTAATCGTATAAAGTGCTGACTCTGCATTGACAATTGAATTAAAACAGCGACCAATTACTCACCGATTAACTCTCGTGACTGTAAATCGATCTGAAATAAATGAACGTTACATTTAAACTGAATATTTAGATTTTTTGTTCTGTCAGTTACAAAACATTTATTATAATATTCCAGCTCTCTTTTATTTTCTCCCTTTCTCTCTCTCTCTCTCTCTCTCTCTCTCTCTCTCTCTCTCTCTTTTTCTCTGATAAAAAACGATTATATTTTATATAATTTTCAATTATTAATACGTGTTAGTGTATTAACACGAATTTTTATTATTAAATGAATGAAAGTTATACATGGAACGAAATTGATACGATAAGATTACAATTAAGATTAACATTTCTCATCAATATTAAATTTAAAAAAATGCAAACTTTCTTATTTATTTATTTGAAGAAATTCAGAATGTAAAAAACTCACAGTTTGTACAGAAATATCGAAGAAATTAAAGACTGCTGGCGTAAGATTCATTCAATCTACAAATTCATTGTAACTTTATTTGATATTATCACCAGTGAGAGAACTTAGCTTAGTGAGTCAGATAATTTTGTCTTAGAATCCGTAATTTTCCCAAGTTTTAAAGGCGCATGCGGAAGTTTGCACGAAGGGATAAGGAGGCAAATGAAGATGAGAGAGTTTCGTCAACCTCATTACATGTTCTTACTGGAAATTGGCATTCCACAGGATTGCTGGTCGACTTAAACGGAACATCTTTGACTCAATGATCCGTTGGAATGGTCCGTTTTCTTCTCTTCCGCTTCTTTACGGTTTAGTACTTTGTCTTATCAGTTTTCGTTCGCGTATTTGATAACAGCATTCTTTGTTCTGCACTTGGTCTATCCTTTTCTTATGTTTGTTCGCACATTTTTTTTTCTCTTTTCCTTCCATCATTTATTAAATGTCGTTTCAAGCGCTTTAATAGTCTATATTTTAATTCTTATCACCAATCATATAATATATGGTAGAATATTGCAAAATGACAAAATCGACTGCTTTGTTGGATAGCGCAGATTATCGTCGCGTGATTGCTAAAAACATATCGAAATTATTAACAAAACAGTTGAATGCACTAGTCATATTACACATGTAGCCGCACATTGCGTAATGTATAAGTTTTTAATGAATTTGCACGAAATATTAATTTGTTAATACATTAATAAATCGATTGACATCGTAGGCAAATTATAATTTAAATATATATTTCTGCATATAAAATACAAGTGGATTAAGCAAAATTACAATACGGTGATGTCGTT